AAAAATATGTAACGGTCATGCTGGCCAGGGCCAGATATAATAGGCATGCTCAAATACTCCTGCTGGCAGAATAAAAGCTATTGAAGATAAATGTGATCATATTGATCAGGAGAAAAAAAACATGAAAATAAAAATCCTTTTTCATTTGCTTCCAAATAGCTAGGTGATGACAACACAGGAACCCACTAAATTATTCCCTGTATTTAAAACATTTTTTTAAGATAATTAAAATATTTTACATATATGTTGGAAATTTTTTCTCAGAATTTTGAAGGCCTTGCTATACTCTCTTTACAGTTGAGAAGTCTAATATCTTTGTGATTTTTTTAAGATTTATTTATTTATTTATTTATGATAGAGAGAGAGAGAGAGACAGAGACACAGGAGGAGGGAGAAGCAGGCTCCATGCAGGGAGCCCGACGTGGGACTCGATCTCAGGACTCCAGGATCGTGCCTTGGGCCAAAGGCAGGCGCCAAACCACTGAGCCACCCAGAGATCCCCTATCTTTGTGATTATTAATCTTTTATATAAAACATCTTTTTTGTTTTTTGGCTAGATGCTTTATCTTTTCTTGTTCCCAGTATCCTGAAATTTCATTGTGAGATACCATTGTGTAAGTCCACTTTTATCCATTGTGATGGATACTTGATAAGCTTTTTCAATCTCAAAGCTCATGTCTGTCAGGTTAGAGAAATTTATGTCTGAAACCTCTTTTTTAGAGTAGCCTGGATTTTTTTTTTTTTTTAACACAGATGCAGTTTCTTCAGAGGAAATAAATGATTTTTAAAGAGTTTTCTTTTCACCAATAGTCTGTTTCCTCCTAGTTGCCTTTTCCCCCTAGCGTCTCTTAGGTGGTTTTGTAAAAAATAATTGACTCCCTGCTCAAACTTTAGGTTTAGAGAACTTTAAAAAGCTGGGAGAAAATTCTGAATGCCTGGATAGGGTTCTGTTGACTGTGATTTACTGAGACCCTTCTTTGGGAAAATCCCAAGATTCACCAGAATAGAGTCTCTCTGCCTAAAATTCCAGAGAGTCCTGGTTCCTCTGTTTCCTTGTTGAGTCTCAAAAGTACTTGTATTCACATTCAGTGACTTTAAAGCCTATGTCTGGTTTCACCTAGAAAAAATAATACTTTTAAAATCTTTTTTATGATATGAGTGTGTTACTGGCATTTCACAAAGTTTTGCTGTTTTGTTGTTGTTTTATAAAAATGCTCTTTAACCAAAAATTTAAAAGACAAGGGGCTGCAGAAAGGTATATTAAAGTATATATATGTACTTTTCAAGAAAGACAATCAGTAGCTTTTGTCAAATTCCTGATCCTGACAGGAATTGATTCAAAGGAGATACCAGACAAAGCACTGCCTAAAGTAGTGGCCCTTACTTCTGGGATGTGCATCAAAATTACCCTGGTCTTTTGAACATACACATTCCTAGATCCTACCCTATACCAAGAGAAAGTTTCAAGAAAAGGCATTTAAACAGACTGGTCCTTTTTTCAACCATCAGGTAGTGGATTTTTCTCAGAACAGCTTGGTTGTACTACTTGGTTGTATCCTCTTCTGTATGTCAGATACACACAGGCAGTTGTTCATTGTTCAGAAGCATTTAAATTGTGAATAAGACTTCCATTTCAGGTAAATCAACTGCTTTCTGACTCAGCCTCATTTGGTTTGAACAATCTACCACAGTGATTCTCAAACTGAGATATCAAGATTTCCTGAGATGCTTGTAAAAAAAAAAAAAATGTTTCACTCTCAGGGCACCTGGCTGGCTCAGTTAATGGAGCCTACAACTCTTGACCTAAGAGTTGTGAGTTTGAGCCCCACAGCAAGTGTAGAGATTATCTATAAAAATAATAAATTGGGACTCCTGGGTGACTCAGTGGTTGAGTATCTGCCTTTGCTCAGGGCAAGGTCCCGTGGTACGGGATCGAGTCTCCAATGGGGCTCCTTGTGGGGAGCCTGCTTCTCCCTCTGCCCATGTCTCTGTCTCTCTCTCTCTCTCTGTCTGTGTCTCCTGCAAATACACAAATAAAATCTTTAAAAAAAAATAAACAAATTTTAAAAAGTTTCACTCTCCAGATTTTGATTCCTTATCTGAGGATCTGAGAATGGATTCTGCATTTTTAATAATCATCCTTGGTTATCCTGATGGAGATGAGCAGTGGACCATATTTTGAGCTGTACTAATCTAAGTGTGCTACCAAGAATAACAATAATATCTGTGGAAGTTTTTGTTGAGGGGTATAGTGTTGAGAAAATTGTCTGGATTTTGTTGTTTAAATATAATTAGCTCCTAAAAGTCTAGTAATAGGATTAGCAGTACAGCTCTTAGATCCAGTCACCCAAAGCTTTGCACTTTAGAGGGCCCAGCTGTGGCCTTCCTCTAGCCAAACCTCTCTTCACAGAATGAGGAGTCCCCCAGGATATCCTCACCTGAAGTTCAGCCCCTTCTAGACCACAATATGGGTTCTCAGTACCCTGAAATTCCTTGCCCGAATGTCCCCTTTCAGGGCCTGTACAGGCCTTCCTCTCAGAACCAATGAGCACACTCCTGGGTCTAAGAGCTAACTAAGGGATAGCTTCAGTTTTTACCACATAGTCCTTTATCTTCAATTTGTCCTTCTCTCCAGAGCTCCTTTATGCTAATGCTATTCTTTATTAGCAGTTCTCAAAAAAGCCTTAGTTGCATCCCCTTTGACAGTGAGGAAATGACCCCTCAACCTAAAGTGAGTTTTATATAATATTTGAGGTCATTATTACATCTGATAGGAGGCTGCAGATTTTTAATTGCAATAAAATTTGTTAGAGCTGCAGCCTTCCAAACAATTGGGAAGTTGTGGTTTCCCTGCCATTCTCCTTTGGTAACAGCCAGGGAAAAGGAAAACATGTGTTCCATATTATTTCTTCAAAAGGATCTGGGAAGAAAAGAAAGAAAGAGATTAACTGACTTAATTTAACACTTGGAGCTATAAATCGTGTGTTGCAATGTGGTGATAGGATGTTGCATCAGAACGTGGCAGTTGTAGTAATGCAGTGGGTATCACAGCTCTGCAGAGTTTTTTTGGTGCTCTGTGCCCTTTTGGTAAAAATTCAACTACAAGTTTAAGTCCTTTCTTCTCTGCCAAGGGAGATGGTGTAACTTAAATTACATTGTACCTCACTGTAATTTTGTTCTTTTGGCCCAGGGCATAAGAATTTCTTTAAGGTTGAAGGTTTGCCTGAGGCCGACATGGCTGCACTGAGTCTCAGCGTCCTTCTTGTTTCCCGTTGTTCACACATCAGCCAGGAAGAGTTGATGTTTCTTCACTTCTTCCTGGAAGTCTGTCAGGAAAGCTGGCAGGTGGATAGCAAGGCAGTAATGTCTTTTCTTTCAGAACCGTTAGTTTTGAAAGTATACGTAATAGTTCCTGAATATTTCACACAGGCTTTATCTTAAGATTTGAGAGATAATGAGTGACCAGGAATTTGCCCCTGAGAAACAAAGTTGAAGGTTAACAGCAATAAGGGTAGGAGGCTTGGGATCTGTTTCAGCTAAATTCTTGCAAGTCAAGGTAGATTTTGGTAATTAGTTTTTTTTCTATTATTGTTTGGGTTGTTTTGTTTTTAGCTCTTCTCTATTTTAAGAGAAAATTCATGGTGTGTGGGGAAAATTGAACAAGTAACAATATCAAATTAAATTTCATATTTAAAACCTAAGCTCTTGATGACGGGGGTGATGTCTCAATTATATGCTAGTAGAAGTCATAGTATGCATGCCAGTAGGTTTGGGAATTTAAGATAACTTAGGCAAAGAAGTGGGAGATGATAGAAAGAAATCACCTTTATTCCTGAAGAAGCTTGTTTTGGAGAATGTGGTTTGGATTTGTGACAACAATGGATTTTTCATTGGTGATCTCTAGAATTAGGCTTGCCCACCCGTAACAGGTAACATAAGGTGTCAACATGAACTTCTGGCCATGTGAAACTCCTGGGATAGCCAGACCTGGTTCTGAAAGGTGGAAAGAGAAGAAAAATAGCTGAGCAGTGTATGCCATTCCTCTCCCCTATTCCCTCATGAGAGAAGTTGCTCCTTCTCCCTGGGGAGGAGTAGGGGAAAGAAGATAAGATTATATGCTACGGGGGATCCCTGGGTGGCTCAGCGGTTTGGCACCTGCCTTTTGCCCAGGGCGCGATCCTGGAGTCCTGGGATCGAGTCCCACGTCGGGCTCCCGGCATGGAGCCTGCTTCTCCCTCTTCCTGTGTCTCTGCCCCACCCCCCCCCATCATAAATAAATAAATAAATAAATCTTTTTAAAAAAATTCTATGCTACTGACACTCTTCCCATGCAGAGAGAAATCTCATTGGTTGAAAGATGCATCCCTGCCTTGAGTGGTTTGGTGGTCTTTGGGATATTATAATAGAACGGGGACTCACAGCAAATTTTCTTTTGTAAATGATTTTCATCATTCACAGAATTAGGGAGATGTGCTCTTAAGACAGTGTGAGTGATCAGAGTATGGTCTTAAAATCCTCATCTTTTAGAGATGCATGCTGAAATATTTACAAGTAAACTGATAGAAGGTCTGGGATTTACCTCAGAGTAATCCAGGGACAGGAGAGGTACAAATGTAACAAGAATGTTGTTCTGTTATTGAAATTAGGTGATGGGTACATGGAGTTCATTATATTATCGATAATATAATGAAGGTTCTGTTTGAATCTAAATTATGCTATTAGATATGTGTCCTCAGCAAGTTACTCTATCTCAGTTTCTGTCTCCTAATCTCTAAAATGAGAATGATAGAATCTACCACATAGGACTGTCGTGATAATTCAATTAAAATAATAAGTTACGTGCCCATTACATAACACATAGGAGACACACAAAAATTAGTAGTTACTATTTTATCTACAAATGGAAAAAAATGTATCTTCCTTCTTAAACATGAAACATTTGCTTTCTTAGTGTGTGTTTCCCCCAGTTGAGTATATTAACTTGGATTTTGTTTTGACAGCTCAGGTGCCTAAAAGGCCAGAGGGTCTTCTCAGGCCAGCCTTCTTTTGATGGAATCCACATTGTCAACCATTTAATAGGAGATGATGAATCATTCCATTCCTCTGATGAAGATTTTATGGATAATTCCTTACGGGAAGGTGGCATTGGTTTTCCTTTGCACAGAAAATCTGGCCCAATGTCTTTGGACCCCGCTGTGGCAGATGGTATTGAAAGCGAAACAGAAGACAGTGTGTTGGAGACCAGAGACAGCAATCAAGTGACTCGAAAGGAGCAGCCCCCAAGAAGAGAATCGTACTCAACCACTGTCTGACCATCACTGTGACCTAGACTGTGGGGTTTTTTAAGGGATCAGTTATCATATGATTAAGGGTTTGGGGAACATATCTGTTTCATATGTACATACTTAAATACCTATATATATATATATATATGTGTGTGTGTGTGTGTATATATATATATATATACACACACACATATATATATATTTTACAGTCTTATCTGCCTTTTTATCTTTGCCAAATCTTCACCACTGACTTACCATTGCCATAAAGTAGACTGGAATATGGTTAATGGGAAAAATAAGGTTCTAACAGTATTACTGAATATTAATGTTTCTTGTTTAGAAAATGCAATTTATCTATATGTGAGAAGTATTTTGAAGTTCAGAACTATGGAAAATTGAATTTTCTTCAGATAAAACTGCTCTAGTGCAATATTTCATGGTCATTCAACAAATTACATATTTCTGTTTATCAATTTGTTTTCAGGGCAGCTTTCTACAAACATTTGACCAATATAAACATTTAATTAATCTTGTGTTTTTGTGTTGGGGGAGTTTTTTGGATTGTTTTTTTTTTTTTTTGTTTGTTGTTTTGTTGTTTTCAGTTAAAATTACTGCTTTGGTAATGAGCCACTGAAAGCTCCCAAACACAAAGCCTTTTTTCCATATAATTTTGCAAACACAAATTAATGGTCATTTGTCTTGAGGGTTTTAAGTTTTGTTTTAATTTCTAATTTTTATGTACATATGATGCTTCTATGTGTTGCCTACTGGTCAGAATAGTAGGTTAACTAAAAATAAATTGGGTTTTTGTACATATTTATAAGTCTACATCACCCACATTGAACATCATTTTATATGAAGAATGTACATGTTGCAAAATGACTGCCTTCAGCATTCCAACAGGACTTCTGTAAATAATAGGTTAAAAGAAAATTGAAAATAAAACCAAACACTAATATTTTAATAGCTTTAGTATTTTGCTTAGCATTCAACACTAGCAGATTCATAAGTGAACTAATGCTTGTTCAGAAACACTATTGGTGACATATTTTACTTCATGTGTATATAACTAATAAATTTTTCATGATTAAAGAGGTTATAGCACGTATTACTTAGTGCTAATATCTACTTAATATAATTTAAACAATGGACTGAGGTCCAAGATACACAAAAATTTTATCTGCAAATAATCTATGAACATTATCTTCAGATTCTCTAGTTACTAATCCATAGATAAAGCCATAAGAATTTTTTCCTACCAATTCTTCCTTTTTATCTAGACTTTTTTTCATGGAAATTTGAGTGACTGTCAATGGTAAATTGGTGGAAACACCAAATTACACTTAGATTACTTAAAGATAACAAGAATGTGTTGACTGGATGCTTTCCACTTCCATTTTCATCAGCAGCCTATGAAAAAAAAATAGCCTTCAAGGATAAGAGGAAAGTAGAATTCAGTATATATATGGAGATACAACTTTGCACAGTATGTTGCATGCAGAAAAAAAAATTTGTATGACAGGATGGAGTAGAAGAGAAAGAATCATTTTTGTGTCTAAAGCCAGGAGTTAAGCTTTATGGTATATTTATGGATTAGGCTTTTCCAGCAAGCACTTTGTAGCTATTTGCTTGGGAAACAATATTGAAAATAATGCCTGTTGTGTCCATATCACCAGGTTAAATTCTAGTGGTTAAGTAATTTACCTGTGGTTACAAGTTAGTAAGTAGCAGAAGCCAAAATTTTCATCAAGATCTCTCTGACACCAAGCTGAAAAGGTTCAGCTAATGAATTTCTCAATTCTCTGCTTTTCTGGCGATTAATGTGATTTCATTGGTTTCCTGAATATATATAGATCTATATGTATAGATGTATCAACACTCATAAACTCTGCAGAGCTCTACTAGAATCATCTACTAGAATTGCCTGTCTGGTGCTATTGGGATTCTCTTTTGGAGTTCATTACTGTCAGCCTAGGGGCTGTTGATGCCCAGGTAAAATGAGGTGAGTCATGGCCACATGATTGCTTTGACCCCCACAATAAGAAATCTAAATGATCTAGACTAAGGGTCAGCAAATACAGGACATGAGGCTATTCCAACCAGCTTCCTGTTTTTACATGACTCACAAGCTTAGAGCTTTTTAATTTTTAAATACTTGGGAGAAAAAAAATCAAAAGAACAATATTTTATGTCACATGAAAATCATACGAAATTCAGTATTGATAAAATTTTATTGGAGCTTACCCATGCTTGTCCATTTACATCTTATCTGTGGCTGCTTCTCTGCTACCATGGCAAAGTTGAGTAGTTACAACAGGTACTGAATGGTACAAACAGTCCAAAATGTAGGTTTACATCTTAAGTTTGTCTCAGTAGAAGCTCAAGCTACCTGTTTCTGCTGTAGAACTAATGGTTTGGAAGCCTAAAATTTCCTAGTGGATCTTAAACTCATAACTATTCAAAATGGAAAATGTTCCAGCTGTTTTATATCATGAAGTCTTTGATGCCAAAGACAAATTTGGAAGGACATCTGTACCTTTGGAAATGGACAAAGGGAAGAATTCCAGAATCCCAGCACTGTTCTTGCAAGCAGGCATACCTTTAGTGTATGCTTCAATGAGCCAGTGTTATAATTTGACTTTAAAATAACATCTTTCTAGAATCATGTTTGAATTCTAAATTTGAAAGATAATTCTTAGAGAATTTCCTACATACTGTTTTCCGGTTAGGAATTAGGTGTTAACAAGAATCGTAGTAAGTAAATCCATTGATCTTGTAATTTGGACAAAGAAAAACTAGAAACAACAGTCGTCTCATTTAAGAGCTTTGATTCAAATACTCCTTAGAAGCGTTTAGAGTCTTCCTGGTTTTTAGGATGCAACAGGATACTATGCCCTGATTTAATATTAAGACTTTTGAGGTATCAGAAAACGTTCTCTTGATAGATTTTATTTAATCCCTGGTACTCTGTGTCATTTAAATGTTACTCAGTTAAACACTTAGAGCTGAAGAATATTCAGGGAGGAAAAGTGAATAAAATAAATAGCACACAAAGTACTCTCTCAGGGTAGTTACCTTCCTGGTGTTGTTGCCATCTAGGTTGAAACACTAAGTAGGATCTGAATGAAATGGAAATTGCATGGGGTGATGAAACAGAACTTTTAGATCAAGCAAATATTTCAGCAGCCTTTTAAAAATCAGTGGTAAATATTTTCTTCCTGTAAAAAGCAGTCAAAGATCTAACATTACACAATTTTTACCCTTTCTATTGATAGATATTAAGTATTCAATGTTCGATGACTATTGGGACATCAAGTCTCACCTGGCACGCTAGTTTGGAAAAAAAAAAAAACTTAGCTCTGAGCATGATACAGCTTGTTACTCTCCAGATAGTGCCTTTGAAAACAAGGTCTAGACCTTTTTAAGTATTTTATTTCTATCATCATAAGAAATGAATTGGTTCCATCTTCTGCTTTACCTTTTACATAACACACTATCATTTTCAGATTTAAAGTAAAATAAGTATATGAATTGTGTTTCAGTAAAGCCCTTTCACGGCCAACTTAATCATTGTGTAGTACCATGTGTAAGGTACATTTTATTAAATCAGTGATTTACTTTATTAAGACAGTGTGCTTTAGCCTGAAAGTTATTGCTGCTCTATCATTAACAAAACAGTTTTTAAAACTAATGAATTTTAATTTAATTAATTGTCCTGGAATTAAAGTTCCTGGTTAAAAGTAGAGTGGATGCTCTTTATAATCCAACTTTTTACATCCCATCCATTGATCGACCTATCCTTTCTTTTCACTCCAAAGAAAAGATGATAGGATAATACATTAGATATACTATAGAGATGCAAAATTATGCTTTTCATTTTACTGTTGGAGTTTCTTATTGTAACATTGTATGATAACCTGAAATGTTTACTTGTGCCTTTACTTTAAACAATTATTAAAGTTTTTCATTTTATAAGAATTTCTGTTTCCTTAAACTATTCAACTTAAAAGGGGAGAGGCAGGACACCTGGGTGGCTCAGTAGTTAAGCATCTGCCTTCGGCCCAGGGCGTGATCCCTGAGTCCTGGGATCGAGTCCCACAGTAGGCTTCCTGCATGGAGCCTGCTTCTCCTCCCTCTTCCTGTGTCTCTGCCTCTCTCTGTTTCTCTCATGAAAAAATAAATAAAATATTTTTTAAAAAATTATGCTTGGCCTAACGTCACATATTCATTAGTGAGGTTTATGCTCCACGAGTACAAGGACCATATCCACATGGTCCACCCATGTATAATTAGTGCCAGAGAACCGGGTACATGACATTTTTCAATTTAATGAAAGGCAAGATATAATCAGGAACATGCTAACTCTTTGAAAATATTAATAGCAATATTTTCATCTCACATTGTATTTTAGGCGATTGAATTGATTAGCAACTAAGTCTATAAGTATATTCAAATATATAACTTGAAAATGCTATTGTGAAAAGTTAGGCTTTCTGCATCTTTTTCACAATGTTAACATCGTTTATTTCAGAAGCAGTTCACTATTTATTCTGCTTTGTTCCTGAAGGATTTAAGACACTTATTTATAAAGGTACACGAAATATGACAAGATAGTTGTAATCCAGGGTCTGTGCACCTTGGCACTACTGACGTTTGAGGCCAAATTGTGGCAGGAGGCTGTCGTATACATGGTAGGGATATGCAGCAACATCCATGGCTTCTACCCACTAGATGCCAGTACCAGCCGTCCTTCAGTTGTTACAACCCAAAGGACCTCCACTTGTTGCCAATGTCCCCAGTCAGGAGGATTGGGAATGGAAATCACCCCTGGTTGAGAATCTGTAGTATAATTTAGAAGTGGGTCAAAAAACTATAAGCCACTAGGACCAAAACTAAAAATATATATACTTATTGAAGAAAGTTTGCAAATTTGACTCTTTAGTAGTAAGAAAAGTAAAACCTGAACCACAGTGAGGTGCCAATTCACACTTAACTAGGATGGCAATTAAAAAAAAAAAACATTGGGCAGCCCGGGTGGCTCAGCGGTTTAGCGCCGCCTTCAGCCCAGGGCGTGATCCTGGAGTCCCGGGATGGAGTCCCACGTCGGGCTCCCTGCATGGAGCCTGCTTCTCCCTCTGCCTGTGTCTCTGCCTCTCTCTCTCTCTCTCTCTCTCTCTCTCTGTGTTCTCGTGAATAAATAAAATCGTTTTAAAAAAAGAAAACGTATTGATGGGGATCCCTGGGTGGCTCAGCAGTTTAGTGCCTGCCTTCAGCCCAGGGCTTGATTCTGGAGACCCAGGATACGGTCCCGCGTTGGGCTCCCTGCATGGAGCCTGCTTATCTCTCTCTGACTATGTCTCTCTGCCTCTCTCTGTGTGTGTCTCTCATGAATAAATAAATAAAATCTTTTTAAAAAGAAAAAAAAATGTATTGGCAGGGATATGGAAAAATTGGACCTCTGCATTGTTGGGAATGTAAAATGTTGCAGCCATTGTGAAAAATTTTGGCAGTTCCTCAAAGTTAAACATAGAATTACCATATGATCCATCACTTCCACTTCTAGATATGTACTCAAAAGAGATTCAAACAGATAATTGTACACCAGTGTTCATAATAGTATTATCCACAATAGCCAAAAGATAGAAACAACATGCCCATTATTAACGGATGAGAAAATAAAATGAGGCATATATAAAAGAGACTATTACTCAACCAAAAAAAGAATGAAATTCTAATACATACTACAATGTGAATAAACCTTGAAAACATGCTAAATAAAATAAGCTCTACACATAATATGGCTCCACTGATGTGGAGTAACTAGAATAGCAAATTCAAAAGAGACAAACAGAGTAGCTGTTACAAAGGAATAGAGGTGTGTGGGGGGGTTATTTAATGGATACAGAGCTTATGTTTGGGATGATGAAAAAGTCCTGAAAATGGTTAGTAGTGATGGTTGCACAGCATCAAATGTATTTAATGCTGCTGAATTGTACACGTAAAAAAAAAATGTTAACTTAAAGTCAGCTTATAATTAAATATGTTCAAATAAAAATTATAGGAGAAAAAAACTAAAATCTGAGTAGTTATAAGATTTACAGTACCCATTAAAAAGAATTTTTTAGATGTAGATTTCTAACACTAGACCGGAACTCAAGTATTGTGTTGACGAAACCTGGACAGATCACAGAACCCTATGGCCTCCTTCTTGCTCCTTGAACACCACACTCCCATCCAGACCCTTGCCCTTCCTGGAATGGGTTTGTCCACATTCCCACAAGGCTAGCTCCCCCCCTCCTCCTGGTTTCTGCTCAGGTGTCATCCACAGAGGAGGCCTTTTGTGACCATTCCTTTTTAAGTCTCTTTCCAGGCTTATTTTTCTCCATAGCATTGACGACTGTTTCACATTCTACACATTTTACGCCTTCATTTGTTTTCGTCTACCCACTCTAGACCGAAAGCTTTATGATGTTTATCTCTATCCCTGGTTACTCAAAATACTGCTTTAGCTCACAATAAATATTTGTTGAATGAATGGTTGAATAAATCATGATACTTCAGTTTGTTTACTATTAAAATGGGATAGGGCAGCCCGGTGGCTCAGCGGTTTAGTGCCGCCTTCAGCCCAGGGCATGATCCTGGGGTCTCGGGATCGAGTCCCACGTCGGGCTCCCTGCGTGGAGCCTGCTTCTCCCTCTGCCTCTGTCTCTGCGTCTCTCTCTCTCTGTGTGTCTCGAATGAATGAATGAATGAATTGGGATAAACATCTTTGGAAATATGTCAGTGGAAAACCCAGAATCCCAATACAGCCAACCTAGCTCCCAGGACCTTACGTACTGAATATTGCTTTGGCACAAGACATCCAGCAGGCACCAGTGAGGAGGCCACAGGGGAACCAGACCAACTCCTGTCCTCACACGTGGAATGAGATGCAATTGTACTGACACAATGTCGTGGGAACTCAAAGGTTATGTCCAGAATAGAGGAATGGTCTCTTTGATTCCTTTCCCGGCTCCCTGCCCATTCAGAAGCCCCATCTTGCACTTTGGCAGGGCCAATGATCCCTGTCATGACTGCCTGGTGTGCCCCACTATCTCCTAGTCTAATGGCCTGCTCATACAGAGGTGCTAATATCTCCTGATTTGAGTGCATGGCCACATCCTTCCTGCCTGTCTAGAAATGAAGCCTCTTCAACCAGTCACAATGTGGGATTTCAGGCCCAGAGAACCATTCTAAATCCTCCTGAATCGATTTTCACAAGGTAGCTGCTGCTGTGTCCATGTAAGATCCCCACCTCCTTGTCACCCAGCCTGGCCACTTTTTCAGAACTGCGAGGGATCTTCTCTGATCAGAGTGAGGTGGAAAAAAACTAGTTGGCTTTAAAGATGCTGTTTCTCTGATTTTTTTTTTTAAAGGAAATGCATACTGTACACATGAGAGACTCCAAGGCTGAAAGATGCTGTGGCAGTTGAGATGCACCTGGGAGCCCCCAACTGTTCCCTGGCTCAGCCTCAGGGGGTGGGACAGGCAGCCGCAGCACACAGCCCTCCACAGCAGACCGGAGCAGGGCAACCAGTGAAGTCACCGGGCCTCGAACCCGATGTCTCCCACCTGGCCAAGGGCTCTTCTTCCTTTTCAGGCAGAGGCTTTTCCAGTCTCTAGTGTCCCCTCTGTCCCTCCCACCCCAGGACTAGGTGCCTTGGTGTTTGCTGTACATCTCCCTTCAAGACACAATTGTGGGGGGCCTAACCTCCACCAGGCCGACTCTTCCTGTGAGTAAAAGAGATAGCATCTGTTCCCCACTGTCCCACATTGTCACCTATGTTTTTACATCTCGAGATCCAGTTTCTGCCCCCTGTGCCCTTCACCAGAGCTCAGGATTGGACCAACCACACTCCATTTACAAGTTGTTTAAAACCTTTGGTGCATGAATAAATGTTCATCCCTGCAGCCTCCTTACTACCAGATGAGCTTCTGGTCCCGCTTGGGCTGCTCAGCCTGAAGCAGCCCCTGAGCCACGTCCCTCTCCCAGCCCTTCCTCAGCCTGGCCGAGCTCCTGCTGGTGCTACACAAGCAAACTGCCAGCGGAGGAGATGGAAAACCAAACAGTGGAGAGTCGTGATGTTAAGCACAAATTTATAAATATAAGGGAAAATGTCATGCCCAGGTACAGTCTAGCTCTTCCCTTTCCTGGCAAACTACCTTCCAGTGGTGCTCTTTGCAGGGATGTTCCCGACGGGCAGCAGCCCCGGCCAATGCTGGGATTTGAGTAATCACAGGCCAAGTGGGGCGTGTGGGAAGGTGTGCTGTTTGCTCTAGCTCATGGCCCTTAACAATCTGTAGCTATTTTAAATGTATCCCACAGCCTTTCATTTGCTTCACTAATTTCTCTAAAATAGAATTGTCTATTTGTGGGTCAAAATTGGAGAAGCTTCTTGTTCATCACCAAACTGCTCTTTGGTGAGACTGGAGACCACACGTGTGCCAAAACCCAAAACGGCTAGGCACATAGTGAGTGAGTGAGTGCTCAATCAATGTTAGCTAAAAGAGATTGTGTATTGCATCTCTGGATCCCCAGAACCGATCGATACGGGCCTCTCAGAAAATAGTTTTGATTTGAATGTACCTCCTCCTGCCTTGACTTCTCATTGTACTTCAGTTCTGTTTTACCACTGTCTACATGGTATTTCCACATAAATGTGTTGTTTGACGTGTTGGCCTGACAGTTTTCCTATTTCCTATTTCTGCCAGTGGTGGTAATAGTACCACTTGTTCTTGTGGTTCTTTTTGTTCGCGTATCCTAAAATTTCAGTGGCTTACAGTATCTTTTCTCACTCATGCTACATGTCCATCAAAAGTTGCCCACTGCTCTGCTCTCCATTGTTTTCACCCTAGGACCAAGGCTGGGAAAGCCACTTCTACTTTGAATATTGCTGATTGTTATGGCAGAGGGGAAAGTGATATGGTGATGACATGCTAGCCCCCAACACTTTTGCCAGGAAGTGATATACATCACTTCCAGCTATATTTCACTGGCTAACATAAGTCCCATGATTCACACACCCCCAGACAGAAGTGATGAATATTTGGAAACATGGTACCTACTTTGTTAACTATGCTAAATACATTTCTTAAAAAACAACTTTAGTATAAATCATACACCAAATAATTTGGCCCTTGAAAGTATACAATTACATAATTTT